TTTGGAAATTAATTTGAATAATTAAAATTACATTTTGGCAGGCGAAGCCAAATCAGCTTTAGATGCTGTAGGCGATTTGAGTAGTAGAAAAAAACCGCAGAAAAGCGTTTGGAAAATGTATGAACCTTTACAAATTACAAACACAAGTGGACAAAATTGGTGTTAGATTTTTTAACATCCTTAACTCTTAAGTCATAACTCAATAACTCACACCATAAAAAAAACATTCTGATATTTTCAAATAAATGAAAAATAAAAACTTTAAAATCATTTGGGTAGGTACTTAAGTTATATAGCTACCTACTTAATATATATAGGTGCCTAGGTTGTACCTATTATATTATATTATAAAATGTCTCAAAAACAATATATTTTGATTCAAATCAGATTATGAACCATTTTAAACATCTATAACTTTATTTTATAAACTTAAAACTTAACATAATATGATGTACCTACAAAAATAATAACAGTTTAATGACACAGTTAGACAAGTTCAATAGACCCAAATAGTTTGGAGGTAAGTATATAATTCGACTGTAGACATTCATTATGTGCTTTGTTTATTTTTGTAGATTGCATATTATTACACACAATTGTTTCTTTTAACATCTAGTAGGTATTAGGTATATCCTATTGACATAATTTTTATCTAATATTTTTTTATTTATTTACCAAAATCGAACTAAATATTACTAAGCATAAAATGACAATGCTCACAATTTATATTTTATTCAGAAAATACTAGATTTAACTAGTTACCGATAAACACATTACGTATCAAATGTCAAAACTAAATATTATAATGTAAAACTTAATAATATCATAATTTTCCTAAGGAATATAATATAATATTAGTATTTCTTTTAGTAAGGAAGAAATAAAGATTTATTTTCTTAAGGTTATATTAGAGCTTAAAGTCTTTAATGCATTTAGATAGGTTCTACCTATACGTTTCATAGACTTATAGTATATAATTTTAATTTTAGTAGGTACCTATTAGTGGCTACTGGTTTCTACTATAGTAATAAGTAGGTAGGTATAGCTAGTAGGTACTTTACTAGTACAACTATATAGTAACTACCAACATTTTGTGTTAATTTTGATATACTTACTTACCTAATTAAAGATATTATATTTATGTAGGTAGTAAAAGTGTAAATAAATCGATAGTCTTTAATTGAACAGTTTATATTTTTATTTTCATGAAATTTTAAACGTTTGTTATAAAAATATTTATAACAGTACAATAATTAATTATTTGATTAATTATTTAGGAAAACCTACAAATTATAATAGAAACATAGGTACTTAAATTTTAAAGGTATAATACAACAGAATAAAATTAACAAGAAAAATATAGTATTAAATAATAAAAATAATACACTGAAAATAATATATTAAATAACAAATGTAAGTACATATAGAAAAACATTTTAAGCATCATACCTACATCATAACACTAATAATAGAAACAGGCAAAATCATAGCAGCAATCTTCATGCAACTATTTTAAATTTAAACTAATAGAAAACAGTTAGTAAACAACAAAACAATTGATTGACTACCAAATTTCTAAACAGAGTATCTGATTTACTGATAGCGTTTTTTCTTTCTTTTCACCTGAAACAAATAATTACATGCTTAAAAGTTAAAACTAACACTTACTGATTATTGTTTAACATAAAAAAAAAAAATTAAAAGAATAAACTAAAAATAAAAGAAATAATAATTTTTATTAAGGTAAATTGTTTACTTTTTATTAGGTAGATTGTAAATCTACCAAGATGCCTTAGGTATTAAATCTATAAATATTAAAGTTGTACAATAAGCATATGTTCTGGCAGTTATTGCAAAAAATTTGACTTGATATAGAACAGAATAAAAGAAGTCATCCAGCAGTGACACTTTTAAAAAAAATTAATGATTAATTTATGTAAATTTAAATGATCTCTGATTTGTCTATGGTGTAAAAAGCGTCTAGGCGCATAAGTCTCTACTAAGGACATTTGGATGATTGATTAAGCGAGATTATAAACATTTATAAAGAATCTATGCTATTTTAGAGATGGCATTTACATGCAGATCTGAGTGTTAAGTGTGATTAGTGACAGCACACCTATTGTACTTATTTGAATGATTACATTTTATGTATATTAGAATATTTAACGGCTTACCTGGCGGTATAATTTAATTTATTCAATTATATAGACTTTAAGCAAAATAAGGAAAGTACTAGTTTAAAGAAGTTTTACCTTTTTTTCTTAATGTAAAACGTTTATAGTAAATATATTTTATGTATACATTGCTATATTATTTTACCTAAAATAATAATTTTAATATATAAAACCTAAAGACAAATGCAAATACTAAACCTAATTAGTTTTGTAATGGTATGTTACAAATTGCTTACTTAAGAAATAAAAAACAGACACAGTGAAACATTATAAACTAAACCAGAACTGGAAAATAATTAGATTAAGAATTAACACATCAATATGTATTTACATATAACATGACACAAATAACATGCAGAAAAAATGTTAGACGTGATCAATTTGATTTAAAAGAAACAAAATATCATGCATTTGGTTAGTTTTTAAAAATAAAATATTAATTTCTACAATTTCCAATTTTAATTCTCAATTGATCTATACTACCTATACAATTACTAGTAATATATTCAACATAGTTTGTTTTTTAGTTTGATTAAATATAATTACAAAGTTAAATCATTCAATAATTTAATTAGTACCAGAATTTAATTTTTCATTGATGAATACATGAATCATTTTTAAAAATATTCCCTACTTTAGATACAATCTACTTGTTTATAATTATATAAACATACACCAAATCATTAGATTATATAAAAAATAACTAAAATCAACAGTCGTGGCTCATGGCCATTCTACAAAATATGAAACTTTCATAATTATCCTCCCTATACATTTCAAAATATCTTAAAAACATGATAAATAATAACTTTGTAACAATTTAATTAGTTTCAATTGATAAAATCCTATCAACATAAAAATTAATAAACATTATATTAATACAAATAATTATTTTCTTACAATAAATTATACTACACCATAACCAAGACCAAGGATGTATTTAAAATTATTTTTGAAGAGGAGGAAAAATATTTTTTGTTAGGTGGAAATTTCCATTTAACAAATACATCCTTGACTAAAAACTAATAACCATATAAAGTATAGTATGTTAAAAGTCTATTAAATAAAAATACATGACAACATTGAAATGATTTCACATCTTATTTTACCATTTAATATTATATTTTTATAATAATTATGAAATAAAGTGATTAATATTATCATCAAGGACCTATAAAAATCTTTAAATACCTATAATTTGAAAAAAAATTTGTTACCTATTAAATTATAAATGCAAATTAGAATAGAATTTTGAATATATCTAAATTAATATTACCCAGTAATTATTTAGATGTTGCGTATATAATAAATAAGATAAATATACAATTTTGCGGGTAAATTAATAAGTAATATGTTAATATTATGTTATGTACTTTCAGTTATACTCAAAATACCATTTAAAAGGTGACAAACATTATTTTAAAAACAAAAACCTTATATCAATTTTTTTCATTGCCATACACTTTATAAGTGAAAGCCATATTTCTGTGTTTATACAGGTAATAAGAACAACAATTTGGGAATTTTTTTTAACATGTACTAATTTTCTCAGTAAACTTTAATTTTTATTAATTTTAAATTACCATAAATCATAATATTTTAATTTTACAAAATAAAATGAGAAACTTCTTTTAATGCCAATTGGCATTTATCTAACAAATTTTTTAGGAAATATATTTTTAAATAAAAAATCTTACCTACTTTAAAAGTAGACAGTATTTACAGTTATAGATATTCATTTATTATTATTAAAACAACAAACAATTTAAACCATAGTAGTAGTCAACATTGCAGAAATTTTAGTTGAATATTTTAATTTAAATGAGTTAGAAATTTAGAATGATTAAAATTATATTTTAAAAATTAGATAGGTTATTAAATATTAAATGTTTATGGGATTGAAGATAGAATTACTGGAATTCCATAGCGTCTATAAGACCAAGTAATACTTGTTATACAAGTTAATAATTGATGGTTCAAATTGAAAACAAAAATTAATTTATAATTGACAAGGTTGGATTATAACTAAATACAATAAATTATAATATTTTAAATTGACAATGTATGATGAATATATTTAGTGATAAATAGCCAAATATCAATGCATGGCAGTCAATATTATTTTTTTTTACATTAAAAACATTAAATATTTTTTAACACAATTATTTATAATATAATATATTTAATCTGATTTAATTCTGAATCAATAAATATATTGGTTTGAAATCATATTTTTTTTCTATGGATACTCTTTTGGGTAGTTAAAAAGCTCCAACTATCTATTTTAGTAATTTTAAATTAATAATCTATTGATAAATTGTTCTATATTTTTTTGTTATATTTGATGAATTATTGTTTATTATATAGATAAGATCTAGTTTAATACTTAAATTAAACTAGATGTTATCTAATAATATTCTATAATAATTAAATAGGTAATAAAAATATTAAATCACTAATCACACTCCTAACTAAAAAATTTTTACCTAGGCACATCGCTAGGGTACAAGCAAGTCATGTGTTACTTTATGGGGGCATACAATTTTAAAGAAATTGAAGGCCACAAAATTAAATAAATATCGGTAAAAGTTAGCGATATTTAACGACAGGCACTGTATTTACCTATAGTTAATTAATGCCACTATTTATTTTTAGAATACCCTAATACATTTTGTAATATATTAACAGGTAATTAAATCTAAAATCACAGTATAAATGGAAGAATAAACAAAAATTAATTATTAACAATAAAATCACAACATTACTACTAAAAATAAATAAAGTAATTTTGGCACATCGTTTCTAAACATGGGAAATTTAATGTCAAACCATAGTTTCCATGTCACTTATAACTTCAATAATACCACTTTCAGATACTTGGATGGCAACCCTAGTGAAGTTTTCTTTACCTTCAGCTACATTTCTTACCTTTGTTTTTTCACAGTTAATAACTCTTTTTTCAGTACAAGGTAGATTATCAGGTTCATCAATATTAAGTTTTTTGTCATCCATTTGATCTGTTTTAAAAGTTTTATTGCTAGGAGAGGGTGACAAGAAAATAGTTTTCAAGTTTACATCCAGTATATCATTATTTGAGTACTTACTGTTTCCGTTCATCAATTAGCAGCAAATAATAACATAAAAATTAGTGTTAAACAAATTAGGAACATTTGTACTATGTAAACTAGCTACACTGGGTGATTTTTTCAACAGTTAACCCACACATTGTCTTAAAATGTATTAGATATTTTAAAATAATTTTGTTTCTACAAATTTTGTTTGAAAAATCAACCCTTAAAAATGTATAATGATAAATATTGTAAAACATAATTTTTTCCAAAAATGTTTTTTCGTTATGGTTTTAATCAAATATTTTCAAAAAAACTCTTTTCTTGTTTTTTAGTGTTAACTGTGAAAAGAATCACCCTGTAAAATATATAGTTTTGATATTGCTTACTTATTCAGAGTTTCATAAAGACCGTGTTCTTTGATATACGATTCAACCAACTCGCTAATAAGAAATTTTACACTTTCATTACGAGACAATGCTCTACGTACTTTTGTCGAACTAATTTCATTCGTTATCCATTCAGTTACAACAATTATGTTTGCCTAGAATAGTAGAAATATTCATAAAAAGAAATGTATAAACATTAATATATTAGATTACCATGTATTTAGTTAGAACATTGGATTCATAAATAAATTTATGAGGATTGGATCCCGAACGACTAACAACAACCAAACCATAATCTCGGACAATAGCTTCTATCTATAAACAACATATTTTATTCATTATTGGTATGTTTTAAAATAAAATATTATTTGTGAATACATTAATTGAATTCTGTACTTCATGGAACGTGCAACATAAAGTTCTAGTGTCTACAATAAATAATAATAATATACTTACGTCTTCATCATTCCATAACCCTGGGACAGCAAAAGATTCCAATAAATCAGCACCACACAAAAGTCTTACATTCACTGCTCTGTTTTGGTTTGAATCGTTGGCATTGAGATTTTCAATAAATTGGACTGGGAATAATGAAGTATCAACTTTTATTGCACCATTTAGTCTAGAAGTTATTATCATATTGAGATGATTCTGTAATATTATTATAAGATATGAATAAAAATTCATAAAAGCAAATAAATGGATAAATGTTTACCTGATGATATTGTAGTACTTGTCTCGTTCTTGTCCAACCATTTTGTTTTACTTCCCAATCAGACATCTTCACCCAAGGTAATGCAACTAGAGCTTGCTCGATCATTGCACACCTATGTAATGACGGTGCTAGATCTTTCTTTTTATACGAATCATGGGTAGGTGATATCAAACCCCCACAAATTGTAAGGCCCAAACGATTTAAGTGATCTCGGGCGATTTCTAAGCAACATGATATTATAAAAAATAATTTAACAGATTCTACAAAAGCAAATAATAACATAATATTTTACCAAACATTCGCAAATGCATATTTGTAGGTGGGTTAAAAGATCCGGTTGACAGCAATATTATATTTTTGTTATCCAAAAACATAGTTAAGCATTTAAAGGTATTTTGTATTTGTTAAAAAATTATAAATTTAAATTGATGACACTAGATAACAAAACTGGTAATTCTAATCTGGTCGGAATAAATGTTTGCTTATTTGTAACAAGTTATTTTTAATGTCGAAAGTTACTAAATTAATAAAATATACTAGTAGTAGTTAGTGGACAATCACAGAGAATAGAGATCATCATAATTCAATAAATGCAGTCATTGGTAATTTCTGTTTCACTTTCAATTTAATATTTGACATTTGTATCGTTTTGTTATCAGTTATCACTATAAAATATTATCTTAGTCCGTGGTCGTACCACAATATACAGGTTGCACATCGACTACTGATAAGGTGAAATACGAAATGACTACCAATAATTAACCAGTGGCGCTCAAAGCGGCAGTATTACAATTAACCAATTATAGATATATAGGTGTAAAATTAGTTCTAAATGTCGACACATATGGTTGAGTGTTGACATTAAGCGCCACTAGTTAATTATTAACAGCTGATTTTTATAGTCACTTTGTAAATCAGTCTGGAAGCGGTTTACTATAGGGCGATGTGCAACCTGTATATCTTTAATCGTGCCATGGGCTAATTTGTAATCACTGATGAATCACCATGAACCACAGAATAATTTGGGTTGCTACCATAGATTATATTTATCTTAGTCCATGGTTGCTACATAGATATATAACCTATGGTTTTTGCATTATAAATTTATGTCGGGCCAAGCGGATAAGCCGTCGGTTGCGACGCACACCGGCGCCGGTTCGATGCCGGCCGCGGGTGGCATTTTTCTTCGGGCAAGTCAAGGTGTCCGGAGAGCGCAATCGGAAGAAAATTCCCGAAAAAAAGGAAAGAAAATGTATCAAAATTGAAGTATAAATATGTTAAAATTATATTGAAAAATACATTAAAGTTACATACAAAATCATATAATATAAAAAATATAATGGAGCTGACTAACTATAAAATGTGTACCTATATTATAATATTTCCTTAATAAAGATCATATTTTTAGCTTTTGCTATAAATTAGTAATTTAGTATTTAGTTTTAGTGTAATGATAACGATATGGTATCTATTATCTATATATCAAATTGTATAGGTAAATATAAAAAGTTTTATATTATAAACTATTCATCGTAAATTGAAAGGTAATTAGCAGAGGTAATTTTTACAAATTTTAGTTTGTTATAATAGGAATTCATTCTGGATGGTTTTTCAAATTTAGTATAGACTAATAAATATATACAAAATTACTATAGATACTTAACCGAATTTCTGTCTAAACCGGTGTAGATCAACATCAACATGAACCAGAGTCATGAATCGGCAGTCTTGTAAAGTATTAAAAAATCGTAATAAAAAAAATATCGTAATAAATATCGTATTAAAAAAAAATTACCTAAAATAGATACCTATAATAAATTCCAAATTAATCATATCACAATATCCATTAGGTAGGACGTACTTATAATGCTTTATACGTCAACAACAAACCCTGATACAGTGATAATATCATAGTACATAGGTCATAGGTACTCCATAGATATATAATAGTTAAATAGTGTACTTTAGAGTTTTAAGTACCCACGAATAATATTACACAATCACAACAAAATAACTAAAAGAGTTATTCTAGGTTTTAGATTCTGAGTGGAACGATGAATTTATTGATTTTACAATGATGTGTGTTTTTTTTTTTTTTTAATTTTTTAAATTTTTTTTTTTGTGTTTGTCATCACGTTTTAGGACAGTAAAAGTGCTTGGATTTTCTTCAACAGTAGCTTTTCTGATAGGAAAGTGAATCTAGTTGGTACTTTGAGGGGGTCAAAAGTGAAAATTTTACAGTAGTTTTCAAAAGCGGCGTGGGAAAACAAAATAAAAATTAAGGAAAAACGGAAATTTTTACACTAAATCTGTTTTCGAAAAAATCGATTTTGGTTTTTGGTGCAACTCTTAAACAAATGAACGTAGGTACATATGAAATTTTGACTGAATGTTTATATTAGCATTTTCTATACACGATAACATTTTCAAAATGTTTTGATTTATTTTGAACTGTTTAGGCACATTTTCGTTTTCCATTTTTTTTTTGTTTTTTTTTCTAAAAATATCAATCAAATTTTATTTGTTGGTTAAAAAAGCTTGAAAAATTAATACAAGGCTCCTACTATATTGTTACAATGGCATTTCAAAAATTTTAAAAATCCTTGGTCATAGTTTTTTTTTATAAGCATTTAAAGTTCAAAAATTGACTAAATATGGAAAAATCACGAAAATTAGCAAATTATTTTGAGTTAAGACTTCGTAAAAATTTTTCTTTTTAAATCTGAGATTTTAAAATGTAATACATGATTCCTTATAAGATTATCTACCTTTATCAAAAAAAAAATGTCCATAATAAAATCAAATTAAATTTTTATGAGCGTTTGAAATTCAAATTTTTACAAAATTGGATATTCACTCGATTTCTCATGTAGCGATTTCCTTATTTTGTTGTAATTCATAAACGAATAACTGTAGAATTTTTTTTCATAAGCATTTAAAGATCGAATTTTGACAAAATTTATCAAAATTAAAATTAAAAATATTTTGTAGTTAAAAATGTATAAAATGTTCAACTTTTATATCTAATGATTGAAAATTTAAAACAAGATTCCACGTAAGTAGTTAATTCTGTTACCAAAGAATCTAAAAAATACATAAACACAGTTTACTTTTATAGTCATTTTAAGTTCAACTTTGGACAAAATTACATTAAAAAAAACCTAGAATAACTATTTTAGTTATTTTGTTGTGATTGTGTATTATTATTCGTGGGTAGGTACTTGAAACTTCTAAAGTACACTATTATATATCTACGGAGTATGGACTATGATAGTATCAGGGTTTGTTGTTGACGTATAAGCGTATAACGCATTATAAGTACTTAATGAATATTGTGATATGATTAATTTCGAATTTATTATAGATACCTATTTTAGGTAAATTTTTTTTTAATACCATAGATAAGTATATAATATGTCTTATACCTAGACTGACATACCGTCTCCGCTCAGAATCGTTTTTCTTATACAATGATATTATATCATTGAATTCAAATTTAATACTATCCATTATACAGTGACCCACTTGTAACATACTGTACAGCAGAGCACCTTTTAGATTCTGAGTGGAACGATGAATGTATTGATTTTACAATGATGTGTGTTTTTTTTTTTATTTTTTTTTTTTATTTTTTTATTTTTTATTTTTTTTTATTTTTTTTTTATTTTTGTGTCTGTCATCACGTTTTGGGACAGTAAAAGTGCTTCGATTTTCTTCAATAGTACCTTTTCTGATAGGAAAGTGAATCTAGTTGGTACTTTGGGGGGTCAAAAGTAAACATTTTCCAGTAGTTTTCACAAGCGCCGGGAAAAACAACATAAAAATTAAGGAAAAACGGGAATTTTTACGCAAAATCGATTTTCCAAAAAATCGAATTTGGTTATTGGTGTAACTTTAAAACAAATGACCGTAGATACATGAAATTTTCACTGGTTGTTTATATTTGCATTTTCTATACACGATAACATTTTCAAAATATTTTGATTTATTTTGAACTGTTTAGGGACATTTTCATTTTTCATTTTATTTTAGTTTTTTTTCTAGAAATATCAATAAAATTTTATTTGTTAGTTGCGAAAGCTTGAAAATTTAATAGAAGGCTCCTAATATGTTGTTTCAAAGGCAGATGAAAAATATTAAAAATCCTTAGTCACAATTTTTTTTTATAAGCATTTAAAGTTCAAAAATTGACAAAATATGGAAAAATCACGAAAATTAGCAAATTATTTTGAGTTAAGAATTCGTAAAATTTTTTCTTTTTAAATCTAAGATTTGAAAATGAAACACAAGATTCCTTATAAGATTATCTACCTTTATCAATAAAAAAATCTCTACCGGACAGTCAAATTAAAATTTTATGAGCGTTTGAAATTCAAATTTTTACAACATTGGATTTTCACTCGATTTCTCATGTAGCGATTTCCTTATTTTGTTGTAATTCAAAAACGAATAACTGTAGATACATAAAAATTTCACTGAATGTTTATATTAGCATTTCATATACACCATACAATTTTGAAAATATTTTGACTCTTTTTGAGCTGTTTATGGACATTTACAGCTTTCAATTTTTTTTAGTTTTTTTTTCTATAAATATCAATAAAGTTTTATCTGTTGGGCCAAAAAGTGTAAAAATTTAATACAAGGCTCCTGATATATTGTTACAATATCAGTTGAAAAATATTAAAAATACATAGGCACGATTTTTTTTTATAAGCATTTAAAGTTGGAATTTTGACAAAATTTATCAAAATCTCGAAAATTATCAATCGTTGGAATTAAAAAATTATAAAATGTTCAGTTTTTATAACTAAGAGTTGAAAATTTAAAACAAAGATTCTCTTAAATAATTCATACTGTAACCAAAAAATCTAAAAAATATATAAACACACTTATTTTTTACAGACATTTTAATTTCAAATTTAGACAAAATTTCATATTTAAACCAAGAATTACGATTTTAGTTATTTTGTTGTGATTGAATAATACTATTCGTGGGTACTTGAAACTTCTAAAGTGTACTATTATATTATATCTATGATAGTATCACGGTTTTTGTTGATGTATAACGTGTTATAAGTATCTAATGGATATTGTGATATGATTAATTTGGAATTTATTATAGGTACCTATTATAGGTCAATTTTTTGTTTAATACCATAGATATGTATATAATATGCCTTATAAATAGACTGACATACCATCACCGCTCAGAATCGTTTTTCTTATACAATGATATTATATCATTGAATTCAAATTTAATACCATCCATTATACAGTGACCCACTTGTAACCTACTGTACAGCAGAGCGACACCCACTTGCCCACCTTTTTTTAATTTAATTTTGTCCAAAGTTGAACTTAAAATGACTAT